AAGCACTATGAATTTTCTTTCGACTAAGACACTTACAATGCGTTCGGCGACTTTCAGATTAGCATCTTGCATTAGATGTTTTTCATCTGCTTCAACTGCGCCCGCTGCCAAGAACTCCGGCAATTCTGCGCCACCTGGACGACCAGACACATGGTGCCAGTACTATGATAGGTACGTTTTCGTGTAACCTAATTAAAATTTCCAGGCCTCAAACCGTTCCCATTGAAAAAACATCCATCATCATGTTTCCCGGTCAGGGTGCGCAGTTCGTTGGGATGGGCAAAAATGTAATCGATATACCCGGTGTGAAGGACATGTTTGAATCAGCCAGCTCCATGTTGAGGACCGATTTACTGAAGACTTGTCTAGAGGGACCTCCAGAAAAACTGAAAAAGACCATTCACTGTCAGCCGGCTGTTTACGTTACATCTTTAGCAGCCGCGAAGAAGCTCCAATTGGAACGTCCAGAGGTAAGTCCTGGATTACATCTAATACCTTAAAGGCAATCGAAAGGTGTGTGGCCGTTGCTGGATACAGTGTTGGGGAGATTGCAGCCCTTGTCTTCGCTGGAGCCTATACCTTTGAGGAAGGTGGGTCATTCGTAGTTTGCATGTTAACTTGCCTGTTAAGTTTCCTCGGTATACTGCTAAAAAGCTTCCCGATGTCAATCTGTCTCACTATCGATAGCGGTTATAGTTGTGTCGCGTTGACGAACCGTAGATACGAAATGAGTGAATACTGGTTGCTATTCGGAATTTAAATGTCTGGTGCCCAATTCGTACCTGATATTTCTTTTCAAGCATAATCGCCCTTTTTAAAACAGAATACCCAGGAGCATTTGCTACGACGGAAGACACTAACTGGTACAAATGATAATCATTATTTTTCAATCAAAACGGTAATCATTTGCAACAGGTTCTTTACAGGGCTTGTATGTTTCAAGATGATCGGTTTAGTACGCACCAGCAACTTCAGGCAATGGCAAGCTTTTTGTCAGCTTGCCAACTAAGTTTTTTTGATAATGACAATAGAAAATGGTTACTTGCCTGACCTAGTTCCTGGAGCACGTTACGAACCACGGTGCCCGAACAACTGCAATATCCGAGCACATATCCCAAAATAGTCATCTACAGCAGTAATATCATTGATGAGAATGCTTGACCGCTCCCTAAACGGTTGGCCTCCTGGGATGTTTCATTCTCTTGCAAGGAAAATTGTATCTTCGTAATAAACTAATTGAACAGAAGCAAACCGCGATTGAAATCCTATTCTTGCACGCACCTCGCACAGATGATGTATAACTGAAGCCCAGCCAGTGAGCCAGCGACACTAGAGCCAAAATATCAACGAGGTCTCCTCGCTGGTCAATTTGGTGTCGGTTAGATGATAGGAAGCACCAAGGGACGATAACGGTCGTTATTGCTTGCTGGGTAAATAATAACCTTTGTGTAATTCCTGCAACGAGTTGTTGCAATTTTTCTACCTGTAGTGAAGCAGAGCAGTTGTTACGAAATTTACTGATTTATTTATAAGCTTCTCATCGGGATTTTCGCATTTTATTTTTGCAGGGACTCGTGTGTTTTAGTAAATTCCCTCGGTCCAATTGGCCTGTATAGTTGCGTCAAGATTATTATAGAACCTAGGTCCTGATTGAGCACAAAGTAGGGCGCATGTAACATGTTTGAAGCTGGGGCGAAGAGTCTTCTTTTAAATAGCGGCAAGGTACGAACCCAGTGTGCTGCACAGGTTTTCATAACAGTAAATAAAATAATTCAAGCTGCATTTGCCATGATCGTCATCGAGGTCAACGGAGTAACTTCCGAGCGTACTGCCTGCAGCTAACATTCTACGTATCATTCGCTCTTTTTTCATCCAATGTCCTCATTAGGTTGCTCTGTGCTTTTGGTTACAGTCTTTTCACAAATAGCTTTATTATTTACTCACATGGCTCATCAGAAAATAATGCCTCTGTATAGTACTATTGACTTGTAAAGACTTCCATGCGGACACTGAATGCGAGATTTGGGTGTAATTGGTCTGATTGCTCGCCTCTCTTTTGTATGACACGTATATTAGCTATTTACGGTTGATTATACCCATCAGGAATGTTTTCTAGGCATATTCCGGGCAGTCAGCTTGCTGTATCTGTAATGGTGGATTCCATACAGTCAGTAGGTTGGGCGGGTAAATCGACCCAATTGGGATTAAATTCACGGCTCATGATGAGCCTCGTAGCTCAATGGTAGAGCGTTGGCCGCGCAAAAGCCTTCCCTGCTGTGTGAGTTCGACTCCCACCGAGGCCGCGCGTTTACACAATTTGGTCAACTGAATATTCTCTTTAGTTAGCCTGCGTTCAGTCAGACTACCGTAGCATCGCAGCAACTCCATTTATTGGACAAGAAATGTTGGATCAACACGTGCATGATTTGTTAGGCCC